ATTTGTGAAAAAATATGGGTTTCATGGCCAAGAAAAACCTTTCAGATTAATATCTTGGCTGTCTATTTCTATTTCTGAGTATGTATCCATATGCATGGATGATTAAGCAATCCACATATACACACCTGTCTCAAGATTGTAGTATTAATAATGTAGCTTTGTTAAAAATAAAAATTATATACTTAATAGCCAAATGCATTTGTGACATACGACATAAATATTCTTAGTGTCTGAATTCAATGAAATCCAGCAATTCGAAACTGGAATTTGCTATTTTGATAAAATAACAATTTTATTTCCTTAGAATTTATTAGGAGCTTACAGATTCAAGGTCATGACTACAAGAATTCAATAATTATTCTACCAAGTAAATTTGTACTTTGCCCATGCAGGACAAAGCAACTGGTTCACTTTCCATCCTATGTGCATTACCACATTCCTTTCCGTTGGTCCTCTGTCACTCATTTTGGCTATCAAGAGCAAAAGAAGCTGCTCAGCAGACGCTATGAGTGACGCATGTTGTAGCTTACACAGGGCTGTGGATTCTTACCATGTGACCCTGCTGCTGTTTGATGACTGGCCCAGTACTGTTACATGGATTGTGTCACATAGTCTTCAATACCTGGAAGTACCAGCTATTTTCTTCATTCTAAGTAACTGGTCATATTGGTGAAGGAGTGAAAAACAGGTTTGCTCCTGAGGAGGGGGATGTAGCCAATATGTTATTGTCTTGGTCAGGCTTAAAGAACAGTAGTTATAGCACATATGTCCGCGACTCCCACAAAGGTCCCAATCTCCCCTTTTGATCGGGACCTTTTTCCGATCATGTGACCGCTGTGACAGCGAATCACGGCGGTCACATGACCCTAAAACCCCACCCCCGCCTCCCGGTTTCTGAAACTCTTAAAGGGCCGGGAGGCGCCGGTGCGAAGAGGATAAGATATAATGCCCACCTCCAAGTAAAGCTCCCAACACTCAAAATACTTGTGATACTAAGCCTAAAATAACAAACAGTATATAATAAACTAGTGTGGCGCTAAATCAAAAAACTAAAATAGTGAAGAAAATTGTGTTTGTGAGAAAATCATATCTCATAACCAATAGTGTCATATAGTGATAAAACAACAAATATATATTCTCAGAAAACATGAAATAATGAAAGTCCAGAGAGTCCTCCAAAAGTGCAGTGCAGAAGAATCACAAAAAAAACACCCAGTGACAGTGAAAAGTGAAGAAGTTAGTAGCTTACCGGATACCAGAGACCATTGCGTACCGCAATACAATTGGAGGATTCTCAAGCAGCCCACAGGAATGCTATTTATGCCTACATGTGGTGTGCTGTTTGGCAGGTGTCCTGGCTATGAGATGTGATTCCAATACTTTAATTTTAATAATAAAGCATTGTTTATGGTTTTACACTATGGGCTGGCACCATGTTGTTTGCTTTTGAGAGCTATTGAGGGACACTGTTGATGGTCCCTTGGCTAGAAGGTGGCCAGAACAACCCCAAAAGAACTGTCTGACCTTTTGCTTTGTTAGCAATGGTCTATTGTATCTGGTAAGCTGCTAACGTCTCCTTCACTTTTGACTGTTAACCGAGTGTTTTTTTGTGAAGATTCCTCAGCACTGCACTTCTTTTTGGAGGACTCTTTGGACTTATATCACTTATTTCATGTTTTTTTTTTAGAATATACTGTATATTTGTCATGTTAGCACTATATGACACTATTGGTTATGAGGTATTACGATTTTCTCATAAACACAATTTTGTTCACTATTTTAATTTTTCAATTCAGTGCCACCCTATTATTTATTATTTAACCCCTTGACGCCCGATGTCACACAAATATGCAGCCTCACAGAACTGGGCTTTTTTCCACGGGGCCGCATATTTGTGTACCTGTCTTTTTGCTGCCTCACTCCCAGCACAAAGACTATGGTGTCACTGAGAGCACTGGGTCCCGTTCTAATGATCGGGACCTAGGACTCCCGATTCCGGGTCACATGATCGCTGTAATAGCCTCTGATTGGCTATCACAGTGATAAGTCACTGTACAGCCCGGCCCCCTTGTTTTTTTTCTCTCTATGAATGGAAGAGAGAGATACATTGTATCTCTCTGACTCCTGGCATAGAGGGAAAAAAAAGTTTGTATAAAAATAAAAAAAAAAAAAAAAAGAATATTAAAAACTAAAGAAAAAATACCTAGATTAAGGTTTGATGTATTTCAGGGCCAAGGTAAGTGTTTGGGTCAAAGTCAGGATCAAAAGGTCAAGGTCAAAAGGTCAGGGTCAAAAGTCAGGATTAAAAAAAAATTGGTATCAGTGTCAGTTAGTGTCAGTATCAGTGTGTTTTAGGGGAAAAAAAAGACAAAAACAAAATGCGCACAATTACTTCTGGGCTGTAGTACGGGTACAAACAACAAATAACATACACATATATGGTATCGCTGTGATCGCCAAGAGCTGGAAAATTTATTTTGGGGTGTTCTTTGGTGGTAGGTTTATGGTAGTAACAAGAAAACACATAGCTAAGCAAATTTTTTTTTTTTTTTTTTTTTTTACTATTTTGGGCCAGTTTTCCTTTGATAATAAAAAAAAAATCAGGAGATATCCATTACCATTTACCACCAAATGAAAGCCCAATTTGTCCTGAAAAAAAAACAAGGTATAATTCACCTATATGCACAAAGTAGTTGTGATGATATGTACGGTTTTACTAACACATGTCAATGTTGCAAAATTGTGCTTAGGCATTTAGATTTGTTTTTACCCTTAGGCATGAAGGGGTTAATGACCAGAGATGATCAGAGACTGTGGACATTATCCAAAAGATGATCAGATAATACAGATCATAAAACAGTGCAGCGCTCTAAGAATTAAATAATAATAAATCAATAAAATAAATATGAATAAAATAATAGTGCCAAAAAACATAAAAAATTAGTGCCAAACCATAATAGAAATAAAGACAAGGTGTCAAACCATAAAAAATAAATGGTGTGTACACAATTGATAATAATAAATCACACTCCAAAAGAAACCATCCAATATAAGAAAACTTAGCAGTGCTCACATAGTGCCACAAAAAAATGAACATGAATAAATGCATCCAAAGCAATGTCCTTATAGTGAAAAAATGACATAAATCTTAGCAGTGCTCACATAGTGCCACAAAAAATGAACATGAATAAATGTATCCAAAGCAATATCCTTATAGTGAAAAAATGGCATAAATCTTAGCAGTGATTACATCAAAAAAAAAAAAAATGTTTTTATATAAATAAACGTATCCAGACCAATGTCCTTTTAGTGAAAAAATGACAATAAATCATGCGACGTGCAATAGTGATATTAAATGCAACACGTGACTGTGCCAAACTCCTCCTCGTGAGCAGCTAAATTGCCTCCTCACCTCCTCCTACTGACCCCTGGGGGCCAACAGGCTTGCAGGATCACCCTGGATGCTTAATAGATCATGGTCAGCAGCTTCCTTCCTTCCCTGGATCTCCTTAGAGGGGCTCCTATTTCCCCTATTCAGCCAGGGCGGTCCTGAAGAGTAATAGCTCACAATCCAGTGAGCCACAAAAAAAGCCTCTAAGTGCAGTATTCAATTAACTCAGTTTTATTTTAAAGAGTAAAAAAGGTTTCACTCACATTACAGACAATCTCCCTCCTCACTGATGTGTGGGTGTACTGCATGTGGCTGGGACCTCTTGGGTGTAGCAAAATGGCGTCTCCCGCCGGAAATGCGTCACCACGCAAAACTACGAACTCGCGTACCTACGCGTTACGTCACCACCTACTCGTGACCCAGATGAAGTCACTGTGAGCACTGCTAAGATTTATGCCATTTTTTCACTATAAGGATATTGCTTTGGATACATTTATTCAGTTCATTTTTTTGTGGCACTATGTGAGCACTGCTAAGATTTATGTAATTTTTTCACTATAAGGACATTGCTTTGGAATTTATTCATGTTCATTTTTTTGTGGCACTATGTGAGCACTGCTAAGTTTTCTTATATTGGATGGTTTCTTTTGGAGTGTGATTTATTATTATCAATTGTGTACACCCATTTATTTTTATGGTTTGACACCTTGTCTTTATTTCTATTATGGTTTGGCACTAATTTTTTATGTTTTTTGGCACTATTATTTTATTCATATTTATTTTATTTTATTGATTTATTATTATTTAATTCTTAGAGCGCTGCACTGTTTTATGATTTATTGACACTGTGGATTGGTATCAGTTTAGAGTGCTGGCAGCTAGTCAATAGGTTTTATACTTTCACTCTCATAGCGCAGGAGGACCTTGAATTATTTTCAGATAATACAGATATTTTACAAGAGATGGTCAGAGACTGCAGACATGATACAAGAGATGATCAGAGACTGCAGACATGATACAAGAGATGATCAGAGACTGCGGACATGCTGCAGGAGACTGTAAACAGGCTAGCCTATAGGAATTGTTGGAAACTGGGGAGGTGCTTCAGAAGACAGTCATAGACTGGAGACATGTCTACCGCAGAGAATGTCAATAGAGTACAGCAATTAGTAACTAATGATGCAAAATAGCCTTTTTTGCCACCTTCTTTCTGGATTAGAGACTCATTGGGTTTCAGCTGGATTGTGGCGCATGCTGCAGTGTTAGGCTTGGTTCTTATTGTGCTGCTGTATAAACATGCCTTTTTCAGTGTGTTTTTTGTAGATAATTGTTGATTTTCATGCTTCTTTTTTTTTTGTAAGGGGAGACTTTTGTTAAGCACAAACAATGCACCAAAAGCATATTTTTCATGAGATCCTATTGAAGTCTAGTGGGTCAAAAACTCAATACTGCACCAAAAGAAACATCTGTGTCTTTTCAAAAATTGCACTGCCCCATGTTTGTATTGATGTGACCGGGCACCACAGCAGAAAACCACACTAGTGTGAACCACATCTTATTTATTACACTTTAATGAATAAAGAAACAATCAGGGGCGGACTGAAAACTCATGGGGCCCCCGGGCAATAGGGGATCATGGGGCCCCTGTGTCCTTGCCTAAACTGAAAAAAGCCTATGAAAAAGGTACCAGTTGCATCTCATGTGGCCCCCTACTGACCCTGGCCCTCGGGCAGTGCCCGACTCTCCAAATGGTCAGTCCGCCCCTGGAAACAATTATTAAGCCTACAAACCTGGGTACAAGTAGACTAAAGTTAAGTGACACTATATTGTATATTATCCTTATTCTCCAAAAACAATCCATACACATCCACTACGTAATTGCCCTGTAATCTATTTTTCAAGAAATTATTTCTTACTGAGTTTTTCTGCCTCTTTGTAACATCTTCTGTCAGCTTCTGAACCTTTCCTTTTTCTCCTCACTTTCCTTTGTTTGGAGCAAACACTACGAGTTAAGGTTGTCATAGATGGTTCGAAATTTGGTTCAGCGGGGACTGGCTGAATTTCGATCCCTGTGTGGACACTACAGTTGAACAGAAGTCGATTGGTACAACCCTGTTGAATAAAAGCCACTCAATCAATGGCTGCAGCGCTGATCTGTGTATTCTGATGGCGGGGAAGTTTCCATTCTTTCAGAATACAACAGCGCAGCAGGGAGGCTCCCCCCATCCATCTTGTATGTGTGGATAGGGGAATTGGTTCAGTTTTTTTTTTCCTTCAACCCATGGACTGAAGGAAAAAACTGGATCATGTATGGCCAGCTTTAGTTACAGTCATGTGCACTGCTCTATGCACATTACACATCCATAATCCATAGTCCCCTGTCCATGTTGGGGGCAAACAAGAGAGGGTGGCTACATTCCTCCATATATTGGAACAATAAGGAATGAATGTAGTCACAGGAAGTCAAATCACAGCAGCAAGAAAAAAAAAAAGAATTTGAAGATTTGGAAGAGGCGGAGAGCAATAAGAGTACTTTTTTAAGTTAACAATACATATTTAAATTGATTTTGTTTTTCTTTTTGGACCAAAGTTTAGTGTCACTTTAAGGAACCCTTGTAATAAATAAACTTAAGAAATCTACCAACATGGACACAGACTGCAATTAAACTTGACAGAGGTTCTAACTCCCTTCCCACTCTGCCCAAAATACAAACATATCAACAAAATAAAATTTTGGCTGGAAACAGGCATTCAGTATTTTTTTGCCACAAATTAATTCATAAATCACAAACAAGGTCTTCAGCGTTGGCTAATCAACCATGCTTTGACAAATAAAAAGCATAACACTTCAAGAAGTGTAAATTGTCATTCGTATTCATACATTTCCTAAACCACAGTTATCTACCTTCATTATAACATATCGTATATACACATTTACTTCATTCTAGGTCCCTTCAGGGCACTGATGTATGAAGTAAACACATTTTCAAAGTCTTGCAGATCTTTAGTGACATTTACATATTCAGCTGTTTCTGATCAACAAAGACTGGCTTTGAGAAAGCCACAAGGAGACACAACTAATTCTGTGGCTTTGTTGCAGTCTAAAATGCTGTCAAGGTGAACAAGTTCACTGCAGTACTGCTGGATTAACATTCTAAATTCTCCTGTAAATCTAAAACATCTGCTCTGTGTTTTACAACAGTGTAGACAATAGGAGTATTGCAAAACAATTTGCAATCTAATATGCTACAGATTTGTGTATGCATTTTTCATAAGCAGTTTTCAGAGTGAAGACTTTTCCCTGAAATAATACTGCCTTTGGTGAATAGATTTCTTTATTTAATGTATATCAAATCATTTAACCTTTTTTGGAAACACATATGCAGCATTGCTTATACTGAAAATCAATTGCCAACAATTTGCAGGGAGAGAGCAACCTGCCGCATACTTTGCCAAAAAGTTGGTGCGGTTAATAAATCGGTGTGGTTAAATTATGATGACTGGGAGGGCAAATATACCTTGGTGCCCGGGGCATTGCTTGGATTGCAAAAAACAAAAGGTACCTTTGGGCACCCCAAGGAGAGCAGTAATGCAGTGTGCGCACCACATGCTGGCGAGCACTAGGTGTGGGGGGATGAGGTGGTGTGGAGAAATTAATTCACAGCACTGAGTACAGAATGAAGCAGTGTGGAATAGGGAACATGCAGCGCAAAGTACAGAATTAAGCAGTGTGTGTAGCGCCCTCTAGTGTAGAGAGTTTGTTGAGTGTAGTTAGAGGCTTGCTAGAAGCCTGGGTGTAAGATAGAGGGTTTACTTTAGGCCGGCTGGAGGGCTCTACAGATCAGTCCTCTGGTATCTACCCCTGCTCTAGAAGCTTGGAGAAGCTTCTAGAATTCAGTAGGCAGAGGTGAGGAGGGTCTGAGCTGGAAATTTATGGGAGTCTGACCAATCCTAGGCAAGATACATTTGACAGAGCCTGGCCAGCAGGAGAGGCGGGTGGAAGATGAATGTTTGAGGTGCTGCTGTGTAGCCTGGGAGGGGGCCACAGAGCAGGGGGGTTCTGGCTCTAGGCTGGGGATTGGAGGAAGGAGGAAAGCTGAAGGAGGAAGCTCCACTGCCCTACAGTCCACCAGGAAAGGACAGCTTGTACAGTATAGCTTGGAATAGAACTAGCCCAGCATAAGGCCTGAAAGCAGTTCTATCCATAGCTGCAGGACAAGGACAATGTGAATACCTCTACAACCCCAAGACCTATAAAGGAGAAGTCTGCTAGATGCAAGTTCTTGGCAAGTCTTCAGAGTACAGTTTATTGCCTGCCCGATCCCTTGTCCTGGGATTAGGGCTTACCATAGCCAGGTGGGCTGGTATTTTGTCCACCAAGGGAACCCAGACCTCCTACAAGTTGTCACGTTCTGAAAATCCGCTCAGGGGACACCGGATGGGGATTACTTTGCTAAAGACTGGCGTGGTTTTGGCTGGAACGCAGTCAAATATCCGTAATTGTACAGTACAATAGAGAAGAAAACTGTCCTCATTTTGTTGTTCTTCAATCAAGTTGGACATTCCAATACCCCTTTACTCTATCCAAGTTAAATTCCCTAATACATTCTAAAAACCAAGCTCATGGGCTGATTCTTTTGTCTGGAAAATGCATGTTGTCTGGCTGTGCAGGAAATAACAGGGCCCAAAAGCAGTGGCTCTCACTACAAGTGGAATAGGGAATGCACAGCATAGAGTACGGATGGAGGTGGTGTGCATGATCAGTATGTAGTGACAGGGTGGTCAGCGATCAGTATGTAGTGACAGGGTGGTCAGTGAGCAGTATGTAGTGACAGGGAAGGGCAGTCAGTGAGCAATATGTAGTGGTAGGCAGTCAGTTAGCAGTATGTAGTGACAGAATAGTCAGTGAGCCGTATGTGGTGGTAGGCAGTCAGTGAGCAGTATGTGGTGACAGGACTGGCAGTGAGCAGTATGTGGTGGTAGGCAGTCAGTGAGCGGTATGTAGTAACAGGACTGGCAGTGAGTAGTATGTGGTGGTAGGCAGTCAGTGAGCAGTATGTAGTTACAGGTCAGTCAGTGAGCCAGTGTACGGTGGTAGACAGTCAGTGGCAGGGTAGAGCTGTATGTAATGGCAGGGCAGTCAGTGAGCAGTATGTAGTGGTAGGGCAGTCAGTGAGCAGTATGTAGGGACAAGACAGTCATTGAGCAGCATGTAGTGGCAGGGCAGTTAGTGAGCAGTATGTAGTGGCAGGGTAGAACAGTGTGTAATGCCAGGGCAGTCAGTGAGCAGTATGTAGCAGTAGGGTAGAACAGTATGTAATGGCAGGGCAGTCAGTGAGCAGTGTGTAGTGGCAGGGCAGTCAGTGAGCAGTATGTAGTGGCAAGGTAGAGAAGTATTATAATAGACAGGACAGCGCTACAGACAATGAATAATAAAAGTCCACAAAAACTCTATACCAAATCCTCTGTTCATATCATAATTCCCGCTGGATTGGTAATAAATGTATCACAGTAATAATGTAACCATTCATCAGAACAGGGGCGGACTGACAACTCATGGGGCCCCCGGGCAATAGGGGATCATGGGGCCCCTGTGTTCTTGTCCAAACTCAAAAAAGCCTATGAAAAAGTACCAGGGCATCTCATGGGGCCCCCTACTGACCCCGGGCCCTCGGGCAGTGCCCGAGTTTCCAAATGGTCAGTCCACCCCTGCATCAGAATGACATATGAAACAGACCGAAGTTCAGTAGGTCTAACCATCAGGTGAGAGGCTGAAGCTGAAGGTTCCTCACTAGTAGTGATTCCAGTTTACCATTTTCTTTGAACACTTGAACGGAAGGGAACTTTCTTTATTGAGAATTTAACTTGAATGTTTCATGTCATTCTGATGAATGGTTACATTATTACTGTGGTACATTTATTACCAATCCAGCTGGAATTATGATATGCACAGAGGATTTGGTATAGAGGTTTTGTGGACTTTTATTATTCATTGTCTGTAGCGCTGTCCTGTCTATTATATTGCTTTTTAGATATGTGGTGTGATCATATGAGGACTTAGCAGCAGCAGATTTTCCTACTCATCCATTTATTCATATATTGTTGCACACCAGTATTGCGCACAGGTTGCTTTCATTATATAAGGTAGAGAAGTATGCAGTAGCAGGGCAGTGAGCAGTATGTAGTGGTTGGACAGTCATTTTGCAGTACTTAGTGGCAGGGCAGTATGTGAACAATATGTAGTGGCAGGGCAGTCAGTGTGCTATGTGTAGTGGCAGGGCAGTCAATGAGCAGTATGTAGTGGCAGGGCAGTTAGTGTGCAGTTTGTAGTGGTAGGCAGTCAGTGTGTAGTGGTAGGCAGTCAGTTAGCAGTATATAGCGGTGAGCAGTCAGTTACTATTATGTAGTGTTAGGCAGTCAGTGAGCAGTATGTCATCGTAGCCGGTCTCTCTCTCCTCCTTACAGGGCTAATCTCTCTCAGATGCAGCAATTCTTTGATTATTCTGACAGTGGCTGGCATTGGCTGTCAGAATACAATAGCTGGCAGGGAAGATTCCTCCATCTAACCTGTTTAGTGGAAGGAGGAATTTCTATTATTCAACCCATGGGGCTTACAAGGTAACTCTTACAGTGTATGGCTAGTTTAATCCTGAGACTCACTGGTTATGTGGCCATTAAGTCAA